TCAGTGCAACCATCCCTTCTCTCATGGTTGCGAATTCTTTCATTTCCTCTGTCAGTTCCTTGTCAAGTGACACACCTTTAGCTAACAGAGCAGCGGTCTCCAAATTTATCCTCGCCTCTCTCGCTTTTCTTTCTTGCACTTTCGATCGAAGCATGTCCAACTTCTCTCTCAAGCCATCTGTCTCCCTCTCAACATCTCTGTTTCTTTTCATCTGTGATGCCAGATCCTCATCCAACATCACAGCTGCAGTTTTTTAAATTGTGGTGGCCATGTCGACTTTGAGCCCTTCTTCCTTGGCTTCTTGAATTTCATGAGTGATCCTTTCGATCTTTCTCTGTAGTTCTTCTTTAGTGAGTTCCATCTGGATGTTCTTACCCTTGCCCATAGCAATAATTTTCCTTTCCTGAGATTGTAGAACAGTGTTTTCGGATTTGTGGTATAGGAGGTGTCTTTTGGGTGAGAAACTTGAGACTCGAAAATTTTGGTCGGACATTTTGTAACGGTGGCTTATGTATATTCTTTTGGAAGTTTTGGACAGGAGTGGATTTACGGTATCCTCATTCAAAGCAACGCAACACATAAGCATTTAAATACACATATTGAGTCCTAAACATGCTTGTGACCCTTTTACGCAAAGGGTGGGACTAACGAATTGAAGGATGTATATGGTTTTTAAACCCGATTTATTATACCCAAAATACTTCATTAATAGCATCAAAAATGTCTGATAAACATAAAACAGAGAAATAGTTCTGAAAAATAAATTACAAAACAAAGTAGAAATAAAGCAATCCGATGCAGGGGATGGTAAGTAAAACTCAAGCCTCCTCTGATCCTTCACCAAGTCTGGTCCTCTTGGAGATGTGGAATTCTTCGCACATATCATATTTGTTCGCCCAGAGATGATCTCTCGCCAATTTAGCTCCTTCTTGATGATTGAACCCCTCTATCGACTGAATTTGTTGCTCCATGTTATCGTCTAACTCTGCCATGCGTGGATCTTCGTAGTTCTTGTTTCAATCGAGCTATGACTTTGGTGTCTTCTGAGTGACGACGTTGATGCTCTAATTCATTACTATCAAACTTCTCTTGAAGGCGGTGAAGTCGGACTTGATGTTTGGCTCCAACATCGGCAACAATGTGAGGAATGTTTGGACCAGGCTCAATAGTTCCAGCGAGACTCTCTTTCAACCATTCTTTGTACTCCCTCGAACATTCTGGACGAAACCTATTTGGTACAGGTTCACCCAACACTCTTCAAGATCTCCACATCTTATATATGTCTTCAGCAAACGCAACTCATCCATTCTCGTGGTCAGTTCAAAATTTCCTCATATCTGCGATCTGGAACTACTATTGTTTCCCTCCTAGTTGTCTCAAAACTCGACCGGGAGCATACGGTCTAGTCCCTCGTAACCCAGAAAATACCAAATAAGGGACCTTTTCTGTTCGAATCACCATATTCTTAGTTACCACCAAGCTATCTATTGACCATTGTAGGTTTTCTTCTCTCAACCCTCGAAGCCTCAGATACCAAAAACTCTCTCCTCCAGTCTTGTTGCAACGATTGTGATACAACCATCAATCATGACCATGTAGCTCGTCTGATCGTCTTAGGGGTTCTGGTTCTTTTGGATTATGAGTCCTGATTAAATGTCGCATCATCCACCACTGTAATATCATATTACACCCTTGAAAAAACATTCTCCGTTATGACACTTGTCTAAAGCCCTGTAGATATCGTCCAGAATCATAGGCGCTAAAGTGTAGTACTTTGTTGATGTTTTGTAATCCACTCCATAGAAGATGGCGTTAGTGTCCATAAATACACTAGGATGAATAGTGTACTTTGGCCCTTGAGGGAAAACCATCCTTCCGAGTATTGCAAATGCGAGGGGACGCGCCTCTTTCAATTTTTCTTTTGAAATGAACTCGTCTTTATATTTCTCATAAGCCCTTGCACGCCCAGACCGATAATATAGTGTTCTGAAGGGTATATTTGGGCCAGGGAGCTTGTCCATCCACTCGGCTTTAACCAATGACAACTTTTTTCTTATTTTGGCGAAATCCCATATTATGGGGTTTAGGAGATCTGTATCTGGATGTCGTTTCCTTTTGTTAGACATGGCGACACTTTCATAGCTGATAAGAACTTCTTCTATAGTTGGCGTTAACTCCACTTCCCCAAACCGAAAGACCAGTTCTCACTATCCCAAAATTTCACCATCGTCCCAATCAGGCCAGGCCACGCATTCATCTCTAGCAGCGACGGAAGGTAACCTATGTGTTTCTGAACGATCATTTTATCGTCGTTGTTCATGAACCTCCACCATACTTTGAGGAAAGGATCGGGGATAGTAACCATTCTTGTTTTCAAAGGCTTGTATGTCGAATTCATCCTACAGAAATAGCAAAAAAAAAATTAGTCAACCCCCACCCCGTAGGCAATAAATTGTTTTAAAACCCATATACAACCTTCAATCAACATGTAAATATGATTGTCTATTTTTTGGAAATTTGGGCCAAGTAGACACAATGTGGGCTTCTAATGGGCCCAACACGCCTTAGTTGTTGGGTCATCATAGTTCAAATGTTCTTAAATTCGGGATTTGGTTCAGCTCTACGCTAGTTGACTAAGAGTGGCTTTTGAAAAGTCCGGAACCCAAACAGACAATTTGGGATGAAACTCGCGACAACCATTAGACGTATAACTAACCAATAAATTGTCGCTAATTTCAAAAGAGGGTGAGTATAAAAAAGTCCGGCTGTGGTTTCGTAAACCGTCCTTTAATATTATATACATATATACCGGAATATGAAATGCAATGACAATTTATGAAAAACTTAAACATATTCCGCACAAACATCATTTTAACAACTAAAAACAATTAGTCAAATAGTAAAATCTCATGGTTTAGAACTTAATTAATCCCCAGCAGAGTCGCCATTTCTGTTTTACTTTAAAATATATGATGGTGAATAAATGGCTAAGTTTCGGAAAATCAATTAATTTTATGATTTAAGAGAAATTAATTTTCCCAAATTACAGAGTCGCCACTTGATTTTTGGTAAAATCAAGAAAAAAACTTAAAACTATTTTTCAAAAGATTTAAAACAAATAAAAATCAATTGAAAAGGGTTCAAAGTTCAAACGTACATTTTGAGAAGGTGTTAGGCCCTCGGAATGCCTGCTAACTCGCGGTTGACCGACGATTTGACTAAATGACCTTTTAAAATAACTTTTCTGAATTTAACTAGATAAAGGAGAAAATTCGTCTATTTACTTACTCATAAATGATATGTATGTGTGTGTGTGTGTGTGTGTGTGTGTGTGTGTGTGTGTATATTATTTTTATTTTATTTTATTATTTCTAAGGGGAAATATCTAGAAGGGGATTATCTTAAGAGGGTAAACCTAAGTGTTGACAAAAATCAATAAAACAAACTAAATAAAAATAATAACGGAAAAAACAAAGTAAATATTTCTGACTATATAAATATAGCAAGAAATGGCGGTCCTTAGGAGTTTAATAAAATTCAACCAAAACGTTATATAATGATAATAACAAATAATTAATAATAGGGAGAAGAAATATTTGAACTTCGGCCAAGCCCAAGTACTGGATCTGGAAGCCTGCCACATTTCAAAATGACCTAAAGAAAATTGGGCCTCCTGTAGATTTTTTTTACCGGGCTTTGGCCCCATTTCCCTTCAGTACAAAAATGTGTATACCTGCTGCGTGTACCACCGTATATGGGGGTGCATTCGGTTTTTTTAATTGTATATCATACTGTATTCTCGACAAAAATTCTCCGATTCAGCTTCTCAAGAACCTGTATATTTTCTTTCGACCTGTGTATCATGTATACGTTTTATACCAGTGTATACTGCTGTATATGATTTGTGTTCAGCCCGTTTCGGACTTTCCAAAAGCTGTATTTTTGTTTGAATTTTATAATTCCGTCTTCATCGATCTCCCTTTTTGCATTTGACCTGTTAATCGATATTTCATGAGGTATACCAGTGTATACAGTATATATACAACTGGCATATCCCCTTTTCCTTGGGTCTTTGAGAGTTAGAATTATTTTATCTTTTTAATCAATTAAATAAAAATCTTTGTTTGTATTATTTTATCTTTTTCATCAAATAAAAATCTGTGTTGTTATCAAAAATAAAAGTAACCCCTCATTTAAAAGATCACACTAAATAGCCATAATTAATTAATCAGCCCACAACCACTCAAATTCAGCCATTTGAAACGGTTCAAATCCAGCCCACTAACATATTCTTAATTATCCAATTTAATACTACCAGAAGGCAAACGACAACAATATCATCCACTAGCAAATCTCTTCCACAGTTCCACCCATCAGAAAACATATTTGATAAAAATGAAGGGTGAAAGATTTTCCGGAACGCTTTCAAGCTTTGATGATGTACATATGTTGGCTCATCGCTTGAAAACTGTGGATAACGGTTGTGTGAGTGATGATGGTGAAATCGATGAGAGCATAAATGAGAAGGATGAGGTAACACCACAGAGCAATCATTCAGTTGTCAAACCCATGGAAAATGCCTCCGATTTTGTTGAAGATGCAATTGAAGTTACTGATAAGAATGTTTTAGTATGCTTTCAGTTCTAATTAATCTTTTCCTGGACTGTTTTTACTTGAGCTGAGGATCTAAGGAAATAGCCTCTCTACCTCTAAGCTAGGGGAAAGGTATGTGTATACTCTACTCTCTCCAAACCCCACTTTGTAGGACTTCATTGAATTTGTTGTTGTTGTAGTGAAGCTCTTATGTAGTAGATAGTTCAATTTCAGTACATCTTGAATATAATGTAAAATACATATTTTTCAAAATCTATCTTTATATAGAGATTGGGCTAGCTTTTGAACCTTAAATCTTTTTCAAGAATATGTATCGTTTAAGTGGAAGGCAGTAGGCGTGACAAGCCATTTGAAAATCATATACTTGCTTTCTTGCAATTTATCGCTACTGTGGAGTATGTCGCAGGTCATATCAGCGTTTACGTTTGGAGCTGCAATCTTTTTCAAAAACCTTTAGATGGTGCTACTGTATTCATAGCAACAATAGTTTTCAGAATTTTACAGGATCCTATCAGATACTTCCCTCAGTCCCTTATGACAATTTCACAAGCCATGGTATCTCTTGGTAGGTTAGATGGATATATGACAAGCCGTGAATTGGATTCTGATGTTGTCCAAAGACAACAAGGCTGTAATGGCAGTATTGCAGTGGAGGTTAAAGATGGGAATTTTTCATGGGAAGATGATGGTGATCAAATTGTTCTGAAAGACATAAATCTTTAAGTTTGAAAGGGGGAACTTGCTGCAATTGTTGGAATGGTTGGATCAGGAAAGTCTTCTTTGTTGGCATCAATGCTTGGTGAACTTCACAAAGTATCGGGAGAGGTAAAATCACCTTTTTTATACTTATCATGTTAATGTTGGTGATTTTGCTTTTGTAATTTTTTAAAGCATTTCCAATTTTGTTTTATCAATCTCTTTTGCACTGGTAACTTCATAATGATTCTGCAGCAAGCAAACAAATTGAGTTTGGGCGCGTTAAGACTGGCTAGGTAGTTTCCTTATATGTTGTCATCCATTGAAATATATCGGATTGTTGAATTGTTACTATAACTCTGTTGTAGCTTGTAACACTTGTCTTACAATACAGGTAAGAGTCTGTGGAAGCACTGGTTATGTTGCCCAAAACCTCATGGATACAAAACTCTAATATCCAAGAGAACATCTTGTTTGGTTCACCAATGAACAATAAAAGATACAAAGATGTATTAAGGGTTTGTTTATTGGAGAAGGACTTGGAAATTCTGGAACATGGAGACCAAGGTGAGATAGGAGAACGAGGAATCAACCTCAGCGGAGGTCAGAAGCAGAGGATACAACTCGCAAAAGCAGTGTATCAGGATCGTGATATCTATCTTCTAGATAATATATTTAGCGTTGTTGATGCTCAAACTGGATCAGAAATATTTAAGGTCACTCCAATTGAATATATTGCTTCTTTTTTAAAAAAATTCCGCAATAAGTTGCTACATGTAGTCTGCTCATGCTACAGTGTTTGAGGGTCAAGTCATGTATCTAAGAAAAAGGAAATAGGAAAATGATTGTATCAGCAAACTGTTGTTTTGCTTGCATAGTAAAGTCTTTGAATGAGGAAAAATATGTGATGTAACTGATATGATTCTGTGCAGGAATGTGTAAGGGGAGCTTCGAAGGATAAGACTGTTGTTCTTGTCACTTACCAAGTTGACTTCCTTCCCAATGCAGATCTTATATTGGTAAGCACCACATTGATGTTTATAGAGTATGAATATGATGAACAAATTATCACTACAATAGAAAGATTTCTATTATACATATGCATCTTTTACAAAAGATGATGATTGTCATTTTTATTTTTCTAATGTGAAGCTGCATTCAAATTTTGAAATATCAAAGCTCATTATTTTCTATATCAACAGGTGATGAGATATGGTCAGATTGTATAGTATGGGAAATATGATGAGCTTTTAAAATCCGGTATGGATTTTGGTGATCTTGTTGCCAGTTCGTTGTAAATGTTTTGGTTCGACAAGATAAGGAGAAGTTCCTAGTTATAATAAATGTTGATATTTATGCAGCTATTCAGGAAGCTAACAAGGGATGTGAGATCCTATGTTCAAAAGGTTACTATCTTAGCTCATTTTTTATGCTCTATCTATTTGCATATATGGAGCTTCTGTTAAATAAAGCAATCTACGTTTGTGCACGATCCAGTGTGTTGACGGTGGAAAGGATGTGAATTTGCAATTTTCCATTAAAGCAAAAACAATTACAAGTGGACTCAAGTATTCTCTTGCTACTGGGAACTAGGGACAAGCAAATGCTGCTGGTACCAGGGCAGGAGTTTCACAGGTGAGCTAATACTACTTGTATAAACTTTAATTTCTTTTTCATCGTTTTCTCTTGTTTCATTATTGTTTCCATATGCTTACACAGGTTTTGAATCGTTTGACATTTGCATCTACTCTTTCTCACTTGCGTAGATTGAACTCACCGATAGGGCGGGAGGGTAATTTTCTCTTGCTCTTAGAATTGAATTCATTTGTTCCTTTCGGTAGTTTCTTAGTCATCAGTGTCTTATACCTTGGTAACTAGGTAAATTGCCAAAACCTAGACAGCTTCATAATTCTCACTGGAAATGATGTGTCAACAGAAACGCTCGAAGGACAAGTAACATAATACACGACTCATTTATTGATTAAGTTTGTATTATCTTATGAATATTATAACATTTCATCTGCTGCTGATATGTTAGGCATGTGGATTGGTAAAGAACCTTGCTTTAATGGTGTTTATTACAATAGGATCAGCAGCAAATCCAATTTTGGAGTTTCTAGAAGAGTGGAGTACAGAAAATTTTGAGGTGTGCAATTTATGGAAGATGTTCATGGCTCTCAATGTTTTAAATTTTGTGACAAGTTCTGATACTCCTTAACTTTAGGAAATATCTCCTGCGGTTATTCCCCAATCTACCAAGATTTTTGTAAATGGTTGTTGGGTTGGCATTCATCGTAATCCAGATTTGTTGATTAGCACACTGAGACAGCTGAGGAGACATGTTATATTACCACATTAATTTCTTATCTTTCTGATTTCAACACACTCTCGATTGTTTGTTCCTACAAGTTTTAGATATTAGAGTTATGAGAAATTTGACATATGAGACCTCAAAGAACCATGCATCGAATCCTACTCTCTTTATAGATGTTTACTCAATCATAGCTGGCATTTGTTGCATTTTTGTGATTGGCAGATCATATGTTGTCGCATATTTGGGTCTCAGAACAGCTCAAAGCTTGTTCGATCAAATTATCAATAGCATATTGCATGCTCCGATGTCATTCTTTGACACTACTCCATCAGGAAGAATATTAAGTCGAGTACAGTATCTTCCTTCACCCAATTCTGATTTAATGCTCTTCATTCTCTGTTATCCGAGAGCAATATTCAGCTACCCGAAAAGGTAAGTCAATCGAGTAAAGAACCTTCTGTTGTTGAATCAACTAAGGTTGGTGAAAGATTTTCCGGAACGCTTTCAAGCTTTAATGATAACTTCACTTCTTTTTATAATGTGACCCCTAGATATGCTAAAATAAGAGCAGATGCAAATGGTTCTGCCAAAGGACAAATTATTGTGTGGCAGAATATTGAGCTCATTAGTGATCGACCTCTGGAAACAATGTTGAAAGAGTTTAAGCAATTGAAAGAAGAGTATCCAGACAAGATACTAATTGCTTCTATCATGGAAGAATACAACAAAGCTGCTTGGGAGGAACTTATTCACAGATGTGAGGAAACTGGAATTGTAAGCATATGCGACTTAATGGATAAGATTTTTTCTGCATTATAGTAGTGTTGTCTCAATGATTCTCTTTTTAGTTTTTATGACTCTCTATATTGATACTGTTTTTTCAGGATGCCTTTGAAATCAACTTCTCGTGTCCCCATGGTATGCCAGAACGTAGAATGGGTGCTGCTATTGGTCAAGATTGTGATCTCTTGGCGGAGGTTTGTTGATGGATCAATGTTGTAGCCACAATTCCAGTTTGGGCAAAGATGACCCCTAATATCACCGACATTACCAAGGTATTTCGTTATAGCATTTATAAAACAAAGATGATAGATCGCTAAAATGTTTAAACCAGGTTTGGATTTGTTTCTCTGTATTGAAAGTATCATGTGTTATTTGATAGGTCTTGCAAGAAGTATTGAGGTGCTATTCCATCCCAGAAAATATGTTTGGTACATCATTAAAGACAAGGTCAGTTTGATAATGTAATTCAGTCCTTATTTGATATATAGTATTCCTAACAGGCAAAAGTAGAACACACTGGTTACGTGATTGCATCTGTTCATTTTCAGCTGGATAACTGTTTCTTTGGCACTAAGTGTGAGATGGTTATGGATTACACAGGTTGACAGGCACTAATAAATCTCATGGCTACATAAATATTTGTATATAATTTTAAATAATATTATTTGAGGTCAAGGTGGGGAAGCAGGGGTGTGGTGATGAGGGCTATGGGGAACGGTAAGGGCACAATCAATGTAAAATGTGAGTAGCAAAATTTGTTTTCCTTACTTTCACCGCGATCGGAGTCATTTTAGTTATTTGTAACGAAAATGCATATCAAATTATTTCACCAAATCGAACATGAGAAAATTCAAAACATTCCTCAGAAGAAAAAAGTTTATGATATTTTGTGGCAACCTATTGACTTACTAACTTTTGATAATGCTACAGGTAAGGGACTTTCACATTGCAAAGAGAGGAAGATATTGGTTCCTATGCAGGTTATATAGGTAAGCTTATGTTATATGTACTATCTTGATGTATATATATATTTACATAGGTGTTCTGTTAAAAAATACTTACAAATCTCCTTAAATAACGAAGGTTCTGCATTTATGTTTGGAAGAACATTAACATCTGTCTTTTGGGGTGTTGTGGCTGACCGTTATGGGCGAAAACCAGTTATAATTTTCGGCACTTCTATAGTGTACGTATGTCTAATCTTAATAGAACTGTTTACGTTTCGATTTCCTCATTTCAATATCAATACGTTTATATATATTTTCTGGTTTGATTTGAATTCAGCTATTGACTTAGAATGATGGGTATGTAGGCTCATTGGCACTTCTATGGATCCTAATGCTAAACTCTTACAAGAATAGAGTAATTCACTCAGTGTCTTTACAAGATAAAAGTGATTGGTTGGTAAACTAAATTATCTCATATTGACTAGAGTATAATTTTTTTTTGGATAATGATAAAGTTAGCCAGAGCATACATTTATTTTCAAGTGAGTGTTGTAAATTATGTCACTGAGATGTAATTGTCCGCATTTTACAATACATAAAGTCAGCTTTAGGCAAAGGATTACTCTTTGAGAATAGAAGCCATTTGCAGATACTTAGATATGCAAATATGGATTGGATATAATTACCTGTACATAGACATTTGCCTCAGAATAATATTTTTAATTAGGAGGCAATTTGATGCTGAAAAAATATGAAACAGAGTGTAATGTTCGTTTGAGTGTAGTAGCACAATATGGAACAATGTTTGTAGCAACTTGTGAATTGGTTTAGACAAAATAGTTGACAAGAGATATTCATTTCTCTTTCTGAATATTTTTTATTTCATGTTGAAAAGTTTATTTAATGTCTTCTTGAAAAATCCAATTTTTTTTACATTCTTGGTAGGTGTAGCTGTAATATTGTTATAATCTTGATATTAGAAGTTTAAATAATTTTTTCCCTTTTATATTATGGGTAAGGGGGAAGGGTGTTATCTTTATTAAGTTTGTTGAATGTTTTATATGGTTTTTAAGCTTAGTTTTTCATATATAAAAATGGGTTTTGCAGGGTTAAGCATTCACGTGAACCAGATCTTAGGTTGTGAATGATTTTGGGAGTTTTTGGGGTTGTCCTTCATGAGGTTCTTTTTAAACCTTAAGTTAGAATCAGGGTAAAACAAACTTATATTGTGTTGTATATGAAGTTTCTTGAGTAGTAGTGTAGTTTTGAGATGTTTCTGAGAGATATTACTTAGGACATTTTGCCTAATTGTGGTGGAGAAGTAGAAAGGTTTGAAAATGCAGAGACCACCTCAAGAAGATTTTTCAGTAAAGGAGACCAAACCCCACCTTGTTGGAGGGAAGGTTACAGGTGATAAGCTTACTGGCACCTATGATTTGGTTGAGCAAATGCAGTATCTTTATGTTCGGGTGGTTAAAGCAAAGGATTTACCAGGGAAGGATGTTACGGGTAGTCTTGATCCTTATGTTGAGGTTAGGCTGGGAGACTATCGGGGTACAACTCGTCATTTCAAGAAGAAATCGAATCCTGAATGGAATCAGGTGTTTGCTTTTTCCAAGGAGCGGATTCAGGCTTCTGTACTTGAGGTGAATGTGAAAGATAAGGATATTATTAAGGATGATTTTGTTGGTTGTGTTATGTTTGATTTGAACGAGATCCCTAAAAGAGTTCCCCCGGATAGTCCTCTTGCTCCGCAGTGGTATAGGTTGGAGGATAGAAGTGGTAACAAAGTGAAAGGAGAGTTGATGTTGGCTGTTTGGATGGGTACTCAAGCTGATGAAGCATTTCCTGAATCTTGGCATTCGGATGCGGCTACTGTTAGTGGTGCTGATGCTCTTGCAAATATAAGGTCTAAGGTGTACCTCTCACCAAAGCTGTGGTACCTTAGAGTTAATGTGATTGAGGCTCAGGACTTGATTCCCAGTGACCGAAGTAGGTTTCCAGAGGTTTACGTGAAGGCCATCCTGGGAAATCAGGCGTTGAGAACCAGAGTTTCCATGAGCAAGACTATTAATCCCATATGCTGCTGAGATTTTTCGTGAAGAATATCAAGCACTAAGAATGACAACGGTAATATATGTCCTTGCTTCTCTGTGATGTAAATGATTTCTAAGTAATTTTATCGCCCCCAAATAATCAATATAAATTATGATCAGAAAATATATTCTCTAACCATCAATCTAATAAATAATGATATGTCGTATTTGATGTAAATCTATAGATATTTTAGCAATCAAAACAAATAAATTTTTTAACAGAGTATATATTCTAAAATTTATTCATTAACAATGTACTATTCTCATTAAATAGATACTAAAGTTCATAAGTTTCATCATGTATCATCATTTCAAATGAAAACAAAATGATATGATTCATTACGTTCGTGTCTCCTATGTTTCTTGTGGTAACAGATTCATCATCATCGGTGACAAATGATACTAGATGCATATTATAGGGGCGTAATGTGGTGATTGAACAAAGTTGGGGTGCACCCAAAGTGACAAAAGATGGCGTGACTGTTGCAAAAAGTATTGAATTCAAGGACAAGATACAAATTGTTGGTGCTAGCCTTGTAAAACAAGTCGCCAATGCAACGAATGATGTTGCTGGTGATGGTAAGTCTTTAGGCGTCCAGTATTGCCTCCAATGGGAGTTTTATGTCTCTTTATTTGTTGGACTGAATTTATGAATTTCCAGCCTAATATAATTGGTGATTCTGTCTCTTCTCTATTTTTTCAGGTACCACTTGTGCAACAATCCTCACCCGAGCAATATTTGCTGTAGGATGCAAGTCAGTGGCAGCTGGTATGAATGCAATGGACCTTAGACGGGGTATTACCATGGCTGTAGATTCTGTTATGACAAACCTGAAAAGCAGAGCACGGATGATCAGTACATGATAAGTTGTAATACAACATGCATGTTTGTTCTCAAAATGTTCGTATTTTTGTTAGCATGCAGAGAAATATCAAGACTTGTTCTCAAAGGGTTCATTATTTGGGAGGTACTTTGCTCTCTTGCTTTTCAGGATTATAACGTCTTCTTCAGTTTGTTGAAGACTGAAGTGTTTGTTGGCTCCAACTTATGATGTTTTTTTGCAGATTTCCCTATTTCTTGCCTTGCCTTTGCATATCAGTTTTCGCCTTGGTTGTGGTTGTTGGTTCATTTAGGATTCCGATAAATCTAGCTATATGATTATGTTAATTCCTTACGCGTCTTGTCAAGATACATACGGTTTCTGTTAAATCTTATTTTCGTTCAGGTTAACAATCAAAGTTACACCGAATGAGAAAAATTGAATTTTGCGTAATGTTTAATGGATAAATGATCATGTATATATATTGTTTCAGATATCCATATTGCTTTAGTGTTGCAATTCTGCATAGTAGATTCATGTACTTAAGCAAAGGGAACCAATTCAAGAACTGTAAATTGGAAAAAATAAACAAAAGGTTAAAAGGCTGCTAGAGCTTTACCTGCCGGTATAGCAAAACCGGCAATTCATGGCACAACCTACTTGACTAGATATACAGACAGTGTTCCTGCCCCGCTCACAAGGTATCAGAACAGTTTCTATTACCAGACCATCTTCCAACTTGAATAACATATGTAAGATCCTGTAAGTGCTATTTATTAAGTGATGAATCAAAAACAAAACAGATGGCACTCAACATTCTAAATATTGCACAAGCTATGTACCTTTTTAGTTCCATCAGACGCTGTCAGAATATCTTTCAAGTTTAACGTCTTAAATTCAGCATGTTCACCTAACATTTTCCTGAAATCCTTATTCAAACCTGGGAGGATAATGTATCGTTGATGATTCAGTCAGTTGTAACTACCATCACATTACAAAGTGCAAGTAAAGGAAGATCCAAACAAAAATTCAGAACCCTTCTCTTTCCATAATCAATAAAATCTATCAACACTTTCGACACAGAAACTTTGACAGCAAGAGTATACGTATGGAAAAGAAAAATAAACCTTCTAATTCCTCACTGCATTGAGCCCAAATATTATCCCCATAGAGACGTTTCCATAACATCAGAGCCTTAGCAGGCCTATAACCATATGACTGAACCCATTTCTGTTAAACAAGAAAGCGGAGCGACTTTTAATAACTATGGTAAGCCATTAAACATTAAAATCAAACACAAATATCAAAACTGATCTCAAATTCCAATAAAAGAATATAGTTTAAGCCAAGAACAATATAAACCATTCTCAATCTTGGAACTTTCCTTAAAAGTCTACAAGGTTAACTTAAAGTACAGGGAAGGAACAATCTAAGTATGAATACCATGGCACAAAGCTTAATCTCATGAATTCGAAACAACTTTGAACCTTTATACAATAAAAACAAACATGGACTAAATCCTATCAAGATTTCAGCTTTCCTCAAATTTCAACAAAGTGAATAATATCAATCTGTTTAATCCAGCACATGACATTCCATATCAAATTTGTAGGTGTGCATTAACTGAAACATTATAGCTAATATCAGTTACCATCCAAATGATTTAGTAGATCTATGCTATTAAATGACCTGCCAAGTCCCAAATCATCCTCCCAATCTTATCCAGTTACATTTTCTCCACAAAATCAATACAAATCACTCCTATTAAATGCGTAGGCAATTCTCATATCTTCCCTCTATTCATATTCAAATTCATCACACTAAAAATTTGCAGCCATTCAAACATTCATTCATCAAATTAAAATTCTACAACCATTCGATCATCCATTTATTTTTATCTTCAAATTAAACAGGGTGCACATTCAAGGAAGGGGCGATATTTATTTAATTTTTTAATATTTGAGAAAACTTTATGCAGCAGCATAGTCACACATTGCAATCCCATTCAATTTCTTAAAGATCATCTCGGTAAGTGTTTTGATTTACAGTGGTTTGTATACTCATTCCTACTCTACTTGAATAACATTATTTAGAACACATATTGCGTGTCAGATAAGCTACGATTCCAGCAAGTACTCTCACATACATATCACTCGGGTATATTGTATTTTGATATAGCCAAAAATATCTACCGCTAACATATTATATTCTATCAAAACAATATAACAGGTTCAATGGAATTGTTATCTGCTATAATTAAAGAATACAATGGATCATTGAATATTTCGATGGAAGTTAACCTCCTACAACAGCTACTACCAGAATTAGTTTCCCTCGAACAGATGCTAAAACAAAAAGAAAATACAAATGCATCAACAGGCGAGTGTAGTCGAGTGAATAAGGAACTGGGCTCTCTCAAAAACAGCAGATGGAAGTATTACAGTTTGAAGCGAAAAGTTGCTTTAATTGAAAAACAATACAAGAATCATCCAAAAAGACTAATAGTACAGCTAATACGTTTTGTTAACAGATTTACAAAGTTGGCGAAGTTAACAAACTTTTCAAGTACACATGTTCCCATTCATTAAAATGGTATGGTAATATGCATCCCCATATAAATCTTATCTAAATGTCAAAATTTGACTGATTGTTCATATGAGAAACTGAATGACTAAATCATTATCTAACTATATGATTATGTTTATATTTAATTGTTCAAATTGACAGGACATTACACAACAACTTGGAATTTTGGCCCCCTAAAGTACACATGGAAATATTGTGGAGCTCTTTAATGGTATGAAGAATGAACAACAAAAACATAACAAACAACAAGACCGATATTCTCATGTTGTTGTATGGGAGGAGGTCGCATACAACTTCCTTTATTGAGGGAACCACCACCTTATTTGAAGTATCTTTTGGGTAAAGAATCAGGGCAACTAGGTATTAATTTTTGAAAAAATATTAGAGCTTATAACTCAATGTTTGCATTTACATCCATGGGTGGCCGAGTTGATAGATCTATCAATCACTCAAAGGGGCCATACATTTTCAGGATGTGTGGTCAGAAATTATCATCGTATAGGATCTTTATTGCCTGAAATTGGTAAAAGACCCCAGTTTGCTTAGCTATATATATATTATACTGAAAATGAGATAAACAACAGAATGAATTGTCTGCTAGAAGGAGACATTGATCCTGAAATTGTTCAGGACTTATCAGTAATGTTGGAGTAGCATAATATATTGGTTAAAACATTTCGAATGGCTAGAGATAGATATAAAGAGCATCCTGAACGTGAATTTCGCCTACGTCTCCTATCTAATAGGACAACGGATGGTCGACAATATAATTTACCCACAACTTCTGAAGTAGCTGGATTAATAGTGGGTGATCTTACGGAAGAATACTTCCAGCGAGATATTATTGTAGAGCATAGGAAAAATGGACTTCAAAGAATTTCTGATCTACACCCAAGTTTTATGTCTATGACATATCCACCAATACACCCTTATGGTGAAGATGGATATAGAGTTGAAATAAATTTGGTAGATGTCATCAACAAGACTTACAAGCGACAAAAGTTAACAATGAGAGACTTCTATTGCTTTAGAATACAATAAAGACTTAACGAGGGTAAGACTCTCTTGCTAGCCGGTAGACTATTACAACAATACATTGTTGACGGTTACATGGCAATCGAGGAAGAAAGATTTCATTATATTCGGAATAATCAAACAAAACTCAGAGCTGGTCTTTACTCTGGCTTTATGGATGCCATTCTTCGTGGTGATTCAGATTGTTCTTTGGTAGGAAAAACAGTTATCTTACCTTCATCTCACACCGGAGGACCTTGCTATCGGGAACAAAATTATCAAGATGCAATGGCAATTTGCAGGTGGGCTAGATATCCAGATTTGTTCCTCACTTTCACATGCAACCCAAAGTGGCCCGAAATAAATGAAATGCTTCGCTTAATAGAACAATCTGGTGAAGATATCAGGGTGGACATTATATGCAGAGTGTTCCAAATCAAGTTATTCCAATTAATGCAAGATCTAAAAAAGCAACAACCTTTTGGAAAAATAATTGCATGTAAGTTCAAACTTCAACATACTAACAGAATACACCAGTTATTAATTCAAGCGTTTACATTTTGCTAACAAAACAAATGATTACTTTACCGTCAACCTAACAAATACATTATACCTTTAACTCTGCAGGTTTATATACAATTGAGTTTCAGAAAAGAGGACTACCTCATGCACATATACTACTCTTCCTGCATCCTACATTAAAAAGTCCATCTATAGGTCATATCAACACAATGATAACAGCTGAAATACCCAATATGGAAGTAGACCCGGATGGTTATAAAGCTGTAAAGATTTACATGATGCATGGACCTTGTGGAGACCTCAATTCAGGATGCCCATCTATGAAGCAAGGAATATGCACCAAGCATTTTCCAAAGAAGTTTAATAATCAACAACTTTTGATGCAGATGGGTTCCCAATTTATAGGAGAAGAAACACAGGTACTAAAGTCAATAAAAATAATGTCTTTTTAGATAACAGATATGTCGTCCCTTAGAACAGGAACTTGATTGTCAAATTTGATTCACATATAAATGTCGAGTTATGCAATTACTCGAGATCAGTGAAGTACCTATTTAAATATGTGAATAGGGGATCTGATAGAGCAACAATTGGTATAGAATGCTCAGATACTCCCACAGAACATGATGAGATCAAAAGATATCTAGATTGTATATACATATCAGCTACAGAAGCTTGCTGGAGGATCTTTTCGTTTGACATACATCATAGACAGCCAACAGTTGAGCGTTTGCCATTCCATTTACAAGGAGAAAACACCATAGTATTCCAAGAAGAAAGGTGTTCTGAAAGCATACTAAACAGACCCGATATAGTAAAAACAAAATTCACGGAATGGTTTGAGGCAAACAAAGAATATGAGGATGCACGAGAGCTAACATATTCAAATTTTCATACACGTTGGGTCTGGGATGCAACATGCAAAAGATGGACTAGAAGAAAAAAGGGGAAGTCAGTTGGTAGAATTTACTTCGCACATCCTGCAAGAGGGGAATGATTTTACATGAGAATGCTACTTAATTTTGTCAAAGGAAGCACTTCTTTTGAGAGCATCAGAACAATTAATGGAGTCCGATATGATACTTATAAGGAGGAATGCCACGCATTGGGATTATTGGAGGATGATAAAGAATGGAATGACTGCTTGGCTGAAGCTCCATGTTGGGCATCAGGAAATGAGTTGAGAAATCTGTTTGTGACGATACTAATTCACTGTCAAGTGTCTGATTCGTCTAAACTTTGGAGGAGAAACTATGAAATTTTATCAGAAGATATAACATCATTACAACGAAAGAGATTTCAATTGGAAGATTTAAAGTTAAATGAAAAACAACTTGAATCATATACGTTGTTTGAGATTGAAACCATACTTCTGAAGATAGGAAAAAGTTTGAAAGACATACATGGAATGCCACTTCCATATTCTACTTTGATGAATGACACAGGGAATCTCCTTATCAATGAGGAACTAGAATATGACAAAGGTTTCTTAAAGGAAGTACATGATAAATCATTCGCTCTTTTAAATGATTGTCAAAACATAGCTTATGAAGCGGTAATAAAATCAGTTGTTAATGAAGAAGGACGCTTATTTTTTACAAATGGGCATGGTGGTACCGGGAAGACATTTTTATGGAATACAATAATTTCCAGGCTGAGATCAGAATCAAAAATAGTTCTTCCAGTTGCTACTTCTGGAATAGCCGCTTTGTTATTACCAAATGGCAGTACAGCACATTCACGATTCCATATTTCTTTGGACATTAGTGCAGAATCAACTTGTGAAATAAGACAAGGAAGCCAGTTAGCCGAACTACTTTTGAAAACATCTTTAATCATTTGGGATGAAGTGCCAACGGCAAATAAATTTTGTTTTGAAGCCTTAGATAGGACCTTGCGAGATATCCTTCGATTAAAATATGAAAACAGCACAGACAAACCATTTGGAGGCCTTACAATGGTATTTGGTGGTGATTTTCGACAAATACTACCGGTGATTCCAAAAGGAACACGAGCTGATATTTTAGATGCATCACTCAACTCTTCATATTTGTGGCCATTCTTTAAAATTTATAAACAAAATATGCGACTTTGTTGTGGAAGAGTATCTGATTCTGAAGCCGCTGAAGTTACTACTTTCGACAAATGGTTGTTACAAATTGGGGATGGATCCTTTTATAGTGATGTTGACAATGACCTTATTAAAGTGTCTACTGATATATGTATAATGACATCCAATGATCCAATCAGATCAATCGTCGACACAGTTTACCCGTCCCTCTTGCAGAAGTACAATGACCCAACATATTTGCAAGAAAGAGCAATACTTACTCCTAAAAATGAAATGGTCCATGAATTGAATGATACAATTATGAAAATTATTCAAGGTGAAGGAAGAACATATTTTAGCTCTGACAATGTGTGTAAAGCAAGTGTGAACACTAATGATGAAGATCTATTGTACCCAACGGAATTTTTAAATAGCTTAAGATTTCTTGGAATTCCTAATCATGAAGTACAGTAAAAAGTAGGAACTCCAGTTATGCTTCTGAGGAATCTAAATCAAAGTGAAGGACTATACAACGGAACAAGATTGATTGTCACACATCTTGGTAACTGGTCTATTAGTGCAAATATCATCTCCGGAAAAAACATTGGCTCGAAAGTAACAATACCAAGAATTATTATGTCTCCTAATGATTCAAAGTGGCCATTCAAGTTAAACAAACGTCAACTTCCTGTAACACCATGTTTCGCTATGACAATTAATAAAAGTCAAGGATAGTCTCTCAACCATGTTAGATTATATCTTCCTAAACAAGTATTCACTCATGGCCAATTATATGTAGCACTATCCCGAGTAACAAAAAGACAAGGATTAACTATTCGAAATGTTGACGACGACATGGAAGATCCTATGTTCATTAAAAATATCGTTTACACAGAAGTATTTCAAAATATATGCCCTTAAAGCTGAAATAGAAATGAGGTATTTCCTTATTTCATCCCATATTTTTATTTTATTATGCAAATTCATAACTGTTCAACTAACAGTGGTCTGTTTTGGAACAAATAGGTATACTTGAAGATTAATGATGTAACTAAGCATGATTTTATCAGCGATTCTTAAAAATTTGGTCCGTCTCAGAAGTTAGAGTACTCACCTTTGCAAAAACAAGTGTTTTATTTGATTTATTTATTTTAGTTGCTAAGGTAAAAAAATATCATCATTCAACATTAACCATTTTAACATTCCTCGGGACCTTAATGATCAATGACTTTCACAAAATGAATCAACTCACTAATTGCTTCTGATGTCTGGATGTCGCCCATATCCAGGATGACACAGAAACTCTTGGGGGAACTGAGACAATAAATTAAAGTGGTAATGACTGGTAGCACAAATTAAAAATATGTGTCTGCATCTTACTAAGATTTGTAGATCAATAGATGTGTTGAAAATGAATAGTGCAAAAATTGAATGGTCAATAGGAAAAGAATGGGAATAATATGAGTATTTGAGGATGTACATGAGTTTATTCTTCCCGGCTGGTAGATTATCTTTAATTTATAATGGTAACAGGAGAATATATAGAAATGCATATTGTTAATCAGTACCGGAATGACGACATTGACGTGTTGACATGAACTGTTTGGTAAGTTCCTCCATACTTTATTCAAATATCCCTTTTGTGTATAACTTCTAATTGTGCTAACAATCGCTTATTAGTGCCTTTCAAAGTTGGCTTATGGTACCACAAACAGAAAATTTTTAACTAACCCTGTGAAGAAATGACAATTTGTGAACTCTGCAGTTAAGGCACGGAATTTCATTAGGATCTTCAAAAAGTAAGCGTCCTCTATGTCAATTTCTGGTGCTTTTATATTCTCTTTCTCAGGTCTCTCGTCTTGCTGGCACTTCAATAATAGGAGCTGAATTGATCAATTTCTGATTCTCCACTGGTTGTTGATTACCCAAAGGTAATGGCAGAGGCACGTGAGTGAAATTTTCCCTTGGATTATTGTAAGTGGCTTTCTGTTCTGTTGCACTAACAATGCTTTTCTCTTTCGACGCCTTTGCTACTTTATCTTATATAATTTGAGGAAAATTGAAAAATAATGTGTTGGTACTTGGTACCTAATTATAAAGTTACTGTTTCTTTGGCACTAAGTGTGAGATGGTTATGGATTACACAGGCTGACATGCACTACTAAATCTCATGGATACATAAATATTTGTATATAATTTTAAATAATATTATTTGAGGTCGAGGTGGGGAAGCAGGGGTGTGGTGATGAGGGCTATGGGGAACGGTAAGGACACAATCACTGTAAAATGTCACTAGCAAAATTTGTTTTCCTTACTTTCACCGCGATCGAAGTCATTTTACTTATTTGTAACGAAAATGCATATCAAATTATTTGACCAAATCGAACATGAGAAAATAAAAAACATTCCTCAGAAGATAAAAGTTCATGATAAATTGTGGCAAGCTATTGACTTACTAACTTTTGATAATGCTACAGGTAAGGGACTTTCACATTGCAAAGAGAGATGAAGATATTGGTTCCTTTGCAGGTTATATAGGTAAGCTTATGTTATTTGTACTATCTTGATGTATATATATATTTACATATCTTTACGTAATTAGGAATTCAAATGGCTTAGTAAGTTCATATACTTGCTTTCTTGCAACTTATCGCTACTGTGGAGTATGTCGCAGGTCATATCAACGTTTACGTTTGGAGTTGCAATCTTTTTCAAAAATCCTTTAGATGTTGCTACTGTATTCACAACAACAACAGTTTTCAGAATTTTACAGGATCCTATCAGAACCTTCCCTCAGTCCCTTATGACAATTTCACAAGCCATGGTATCTCTAGGTAGGTTAGATGGATATATGACAAGCCGTGAATTAGATTTTGATGTTGTCGAAAGACAACAAGGCTGTAATGGCAGTATTGCAGTGGAGGTTAAACATGGGATTTTTTCATGGGAAGATGATGGTGATCAAATTGTTCTGAAAGACATAAATCTTCAAGTTCGAAAGGGGGAACTTGCTGCAATTGTTGGAATGGTTGGATCAGGAAAGTCTTCTTTGTTGGCATAAATGCATGGTGAACTTCACAAAGTATCGGGAGAGGTAAAATCACCTTTTTTATATACTTACCATGTTAATGTTGGTGATTTTGCTTTTGTAATTTTCTAAAGCATTTCCAATTTTGTTTTATCAATCTCTTTTGCACTAATAACTTCATAATGATTCTGCAACAAACAAACAAATTGAATTCGGGCCAGTGCAGTGAACACGTTAGAAAAGTTTGGTGCCTTGGTTGATTTACTAAAGGTAGAATTGTTCTAGTTTCAGTTTGTGTCATGACTGAATGTTGCATTTTCACTTTAAAATTGTTTCTTTAATATGTTGCAGCCTCGCATATTTGTGCCGTTGAAACGTTGTCTGTTTGATAGTGATGATGATGTTAGTCATTAGATTTTATGCCTTCGGGTATTTATTCTTTATATCTCTCTTTAGATTCTCTTTTTGGATACCAAGGAATCTTTACGTCCTTAATCTCTAAACTATCATTGTGTCACTAACAATGGGTGTTGGATAATGTTAGGTGCCACATAATACTTCCTTAGTAGATAGACTTTAAGGACGAAATTTTCTTGAGTATAGAGTTGCCAATACAATTAAATTCAGAATATGTACACATCTAAAACATAAGCTGGAGAATTGTAAGGTCAATTAACTTGGTCCAAAAGTGTGAGAACTTTGGTGTTTTCAAATAAAAGAAAATTCGGAGGGTCACTCTTTTACTGTTTCTGATTTTTAGACTTGGTCGTCTGTTGTGTTATACTCTGTTGGAGAGAGGCACTTTGACTAAAGATAACGAAGTAAATGTTTGTTCAAGTGAATGAACATGCAGATATAGATGAGTGTGTTGTTTTAGATACAGATCCTATCCAATTCTTGCTGAGCTTCTCCCTTTCAA